AATTGTTGCCTTTAACTACATTTCTCTAGGCTTTTGTCACAAAATAGTACTAAGCTTCAATTGGCAATGAGAAAGCCTTCAAGATTCCATCCTATCATCATGATATATGTTGTTCTCCTTTGTTGTCACCTTTGAAGCTTAAATTGTTATTTGGTGCTGGATTCGTTTTCATTGCTGATGCATGGGATTGCCTGCTAAGTTTTGATTTCAATTAAGTTGAATATGCTTACAGTGTGCAGTCACCAGTTCTTGTAAATAGAGGATGGGTCCCACGGAGCTGGAGAGACAAGTCTTTTGAAGTTCCACAAGAAAGGGAGAAGTCTTCAAGTACAGAAGCTGTTCCTGTCCAACAGAGTGAACAAAGCTGGTGGTGGAGGTTTTGGTCTAAGAAGCCAAAAGTTGTTGAGGTTGTTTCTTATATCCCATAATGCTTTCTTTGATGCTGATGACATATACCTTACGTGAAGAAGTCTGAAATTCCTTGGAAATTACAGGATCAAGCCCCTGCTATTTTTTCTATTGAAATTATTGGAGTTGTCCGTGGTAGTGAGAAGCCAAGCATATTTGTTCCAGCAAATGATCCAAATTCAAGACAATGGTTCTATGTTGATGTTCCTGCAATTGCTGTTGCTTCTGGGCTCCCAGAGGATACTCTCTTAATTGAAGACATCAATGAAAATGTTAATCCAAGCAATCCTTACCCTGTTCCAAAGGATGTCAATACCTTGATTCGCAGTTCAGTTATGCCACAGGACCATCTAAATTATACCTTGACATGGTATGAGTCACTATATCATATGATTAAAAATATTTTATTCCTGCACATGTAGTTCCTTTGTTGGAGAGAGATTTGATATCAGTGTGCATTCTCTATCCACTTTTCTTCCAACAGTTGTGGTATTTCTAGTTTTCTTATGATTGCTGTGAAGGAGGGCAGATTACTCTTGATCTGCCTTTTAAAATGAGACATATTATATTTTATTTTTGATTAAAATTTAAATTAATCTGACCTAGCGAATATAATCAATGAATAAATAATATAATGAACTGAATATAACACTTAAAAATGTACATATTTTTGTGGTGGAAATAAAAACTTATACTTATGCAGTTTAGCAAGTTAGGCAAAGACTGCCATTTCTTTTTGGAAATCATAAGAGAAGTGAGGCCATTGCTTTAAACTGCATTTAATGTCATTTCTTTCTCTCCGTCCTAAGTGTTGATGAATTATTCTTTTTTTTTTTTAATATGAAAGTATTTGTGTGTGATACCTTTTAGGTGTGCTAATAATAATGTAGAAAAACAATATAGTGGTCGCATTTGCTAAATGTTGGAATCTAATCAGATATTTGTTCCAATTAAAATTTCCTTTCCGAGATTGTTATAATCATTTGTCTGTATGTCTATATAAATATATTCTGGAAGAGTATTTTCTTTAGTTGGGAGTTCCATAGTTCCAAACAAAAATCTGCAAGTTTGGACATCTAAGGAATCTTAAAAGATTTTCTGTGAAAGATAATGTTCAGCTTTTATTGAAAGATTCTATGAGAGAAACTTCGAGCATTAAAGTTTGTGGTCTTCTTATTAATATTCTTGTTATCTGACAAAAGGAATCTACAATATCCTGTGGCGTCTTTGAGAACTTTTTCTTGAACTACTTTGGCAAATTAACTTCCTATAGATATGAGCCTAGGTTGGGTGCCTTGGGGTTGAGAATTAGTTATGCCTCAAGGATATTTCCTAATTATTTTGTAAATGAATTAAAACTCGAAAACCTTATTAAAGCAGATTGATCTTAAAATCTTGTCCATCCAAACTTCAGAATAAACAAAATCAATATGTTTAGCAAAACACACACTTAATTAAAATGCCTTGCGATGAGGGTTAATGATTCATGTATCCTTATAGTTTAATGCTGTAGAGAGCATGACAGATTAACTGATAAGGAAGCATGCATTTCTGCTTATTGTTAAATTTCTTTATGCCCCTGCAGCTATTACTTTTTATTCTGAATACATGGAGCCTTGGGTTGTTTCAAAGTAAATTATGGTGTCACATCAACTGCGCATTAGTAAAAAGGCAACAATATAACAAATTTATCTCAGAAATTTTTAAAACAGATTGTCTGGCTTCCTATCATACCTCTTCCCTGATATCTTTTTCATTTTTCTGCAGGTATTCTCTGTCTGCTGCTGTTACATTTATGGCTTTTAAGAGACTTAAGCAAAAAAAGAGTAGGAGATAGCAATCATTACTCTAAAAGGTTTAAGTTTTTCCTACGATTCTTGGTATGCACTGTACTCAAGCATTTGATTTGTGGCATATTACTATCCTTGAGTCCCCTATGTAGTGAAACAATAAATTATTTATGTGATGGTAGTGTTTTTTTTTTTTTTTGGTTTTTGCCCATGATTTAGTGATATTGTTTGTTGCTTCGTTTTGGTTTTATTTGTTGGGCCCTGAGATCTCCTGCAGCCTATGTGGTTTAGCTTCTTATTTTCATCCTGTATCAATTCAAGCATGTGATCTACAAGAACATGAAGAATTAACAAGCCTCAAGTCCTATTATTAGATGAGAAAATATAATTGTTGGGTTATGTTTTTTTTTTTCATTGTGGCTCCATTTGGTGAACCAGGACATATTTCCTGCAATCTTTCTGCTGTTTTTCGTAATATTGGTATTTCTTTTGGCCATTGTCTGTCTGTGTATGTGAATAATTTTCCGAATGTGCACTGTTAGATAATGAGCCTTCTTATAATTTGCGTTCAAAACATTAATTGTTCCTACTATTTGTTCCTTTTCTTTTTGTGGAATAAATTACATCTTTGTTATCTGTATTTAGGTTTGCATTCAAAGGTCCTGTACAACTGAACAAGCATCAAATCTTTGAGGTACATTCTATTTGGTTTTCATAAATGAATCTTTTTCAGAGTAGAGCTGAATGCCCACCAGTTCCTGATCTGGACGAAAGATCAGATGAGGTTTGCTACATTTTATTTTGCATTAAATAAAAAATATACTGTGCACTTAAAGTTAGTTTATTTTGTTTTATTCAAGTTCAATTCTAGGAAAAAGGGAAAGAAACGAAAGGAAATTTGAAGAGGAAGAGTGACAATTTTCTAGTGGGATAGAATGTATTTTGAGTTTTCAAGTCTTCTGAGTTTCATCACCATTGAGAATGTCTTGTTTGAGCACAAATGGTGTGTGTAGCTTCAAAGTTGGTAATATTGGATGATGTATGATTAAGTTGTGGATTTTTGGATAATGTTTTCGGCTTATTTATACATTTATTAATTCTCAAGTCCTTGTTGTCAAATGAATGCAACTATAATTGTCTGGTTGACATGTACTTCCAATGTCCTTTAGACGGCGTTTGGTGTTTTACAATGTCATGTAATTATAGGTAATGTGATTATAAATAATATGATTGTAAGAAAAATAATATTACAATGTTTGGTATATAAATAAAATAATGATTAAACTGTTAGGAAGATAACATTGCAACGTTTGGGTTACAAATACTTTATTGATAATGTAATATTAATTTTTAAAATTATTTTTATTTATTAAATGCAAGTTTAATATATTTATATTTTTTATTGTTAATTTTTATATAATATCATCTCTTAAATATATTTTTAATATCATATATTTTATTTTCATTTCTTATTATAATTTTATATATTTTATATTTTATTTTTAATATAATTTTTTATATTATATATTTTATTTTAATTTTAATTTATATTATATAAATTTTAATTTCTTATATTTTATTTTATTTTAATTTTTAATTTTTATATTATATATTTTATTTTAATATTTTTTATTTTAATTATAACATTAAAATGTTTTTAGTAAAGGAATAAAGTTGAAGGGTAAAAATATCTTTAATAATGTTGTAAAGTGCAATGTAATGTAATTGTATTGGTTTTGTATTGCAATCATATTACATTTCTTAACTGTAATGTGATTGCATTGTAATCGTATATTGCAATGGTCTGTTGTAAAATAAATATTATAATATAATTTAATTGGACACATTACAAAGAATGTGCTTTCACTCTTCTCATACCAAATGTTTCAACTCCACTTGTTGCGGGTAGATTTGTTATAAGGATTTTATCAATGGGTGTTTAGGAGTATTTGTTAAGACTAATTAAAATTATTTTCAAAAAGAATTTTTTCCTATATTGCTTTGTTTTTATTAAAAATAAAAAATATAATACATTAATTATCAAAATCTTTTTATAATATCAAATTAACAAGTGTGAAGGCATTCTTTGCATTTGCCTTGTGGTAATGATAAGATTAAAACCAAGGATTTGGTTTGACAGTTTAGTGAGAGTTAGAATTTTACGTTTAGAATTAGAAAACATTGTTTATGAAATAATTGTACTAGAAGTTCAACATTTGATAAAAATATAAAAGAAGTTAGATGGAAAAAGTTCATATGAAAATTATACAAATAAATTTTAAAAATTATTCAAAAGAATCAATCTTAATAATTTACTTAAAATAGTTAACTAGTATAACTATAAATAATTTGTTAGTGACAATAATCTCAATTTCTAAATTTAACAACAAACAAAAATTAACAAATGCAATAATTAAAATCTCAATGGGAAGCAATTCCTTAAAAAATATTAAGAACTGTCAATAAACAATTTAATGGAGAAGCAATTCTCTGAAATTAATCACAAAAATTAAATACAACATCAATAAACAATTTAATAAGGAAACAATCTCCAAATAAAAAACTTAATTGTTCACAAGAATCTACAAGAAAAAAACACAAATAATTTGTAGGAAAGCAATCAAACAATCTTTACATGAATAAGTAATAACTAACCTTATGTGTTTAATTAAATCCTTATTTTGTTGCTTTCAACAAATAATGGTTAAGATGGTAAATCTTAAATCAAAATCACCAAGTTGAAATTATTAAATAAAGAAAAAAATTTAAAGTTGGAACCTTCCTAATAAAAGGAATCTTAGGCTCATGAAGCTTTTTCGATTTTCTGTCAAGTGTTTCTCACCACTAATTCTTCTCATATGGTGCAACATCCACATTTAATTATATATAGTAAGTTAAATTGCTAATCCAACTTTTGATTAATTATAATTTAACCTTTGTACTTACTTAAATCGTTTAATTAAGTCTGGATTAGAAATTTCAAATTTTCGATTGAGCACAATCTCATTTTAATTTCACATTGTCACTTTATTGTGTGTAACTTATTAGATTTTCAACATATTGGCAATAAATATAAACTAATCTAATTACTTATATTTATAAATCATGAGGGACATCTAACAATACATTATGATTACTCAAATGTCATAAAAGTCAGTATGTTTTGACTAGCCTTTCAGTGTATAGTATCTCAATGTAATTTGATCATTTCATCAAATATCCTGGATATGTCATGAAGAATGGCATGGTGTCTATTTATGACATCCTATATTAGTCCTAAGGCTTCATATTGACCTATCCGATTTATCAAGATTGCCTCAGCCAAGGACTTTGATAATATAAGCTAAGAACAAGTGAGATATGCCCCTTATAAATTACTTGAGGTAATGAATCCTCTCTAGATTATACATTCATCTTCGAATGCTTCATGTCATACCTAAAAGCACACTGTTTGGACATGTGGTCACCTCTAGATCCGTAAGGATGAAATCAAGACATGATAATTCACATATAAGATGACTTGGTATCACAAGTTTAAGGATTACTTGCACTATTGACACATGAGAGTATTTCCATAGACATTTAAGTGAAATACCAAATAAAACTCTCATAGTGGGTCATGTTTAGTGAACTTGTTCCTTGACAAGCACGCACATACTATCCCTAAGTATCTCACATGCTTTAACTTATGAGATCGATTATTTACTTCCACAGTAACAAAGTTTAGCATGTGCCAATCTTTGAGCATTGTCAATGCCTTTATTGCTGACAATACAATGACTAGGAATATATTTAGGAACCAAGCTTTAATGCTGAAGAATTTCATAATTATGACCTTTATAATTTCTTTGCAAAGCCATTATGTTTTAAGGACTTTATCTACATAATTCTCTCACAACTCTTTAAAGATAAACTCATGGATAAAGAAATATTTCATACATTATTTAAAATATTCATAATGTATTTAATATGAAATATGACTACTTAATGAAATGTTTTACAAGCACAAAATCGATTAACTTATAGGGCTTACACTGACAATCTCTTATTAGTACTAAAGCTAATCACCTACATAAAAATCAATTCTTGCTCTTCGAGGTATTGGCTCTTTTCAATTCCAGTAACTTCTATTTTCCAAGGACTAACTTCTTCTTTTCCCAGAATTGATTCTTCATTGTTTTTGTGTGCTAAGAATTGACTTCTCCCATTTTCAGAACTAATTTTTCATGTGATAAAGAAATAAATTTGCTTTCTTCTCATTTAAGAATCAAAACTTTACATTTGAGAATTTGATTCTTAGGTTGGCACTTTGAGTTTGAAAACAAAAACTCTTAGAGAAAACTTAGAAGCATATCTTTAAGTTCAAGAGCATTATCATTCACTTTCAAAACATGTTCAATCAATTTCAGCATTTTAAGATATTTTTCTTTATAAGACTAGCTTCAAAACATCCTTGAGATTTTATTCAAATTCAAAAACATCTTTCATTCATTTTCAAAGCATATTTGGTTCAATTAATTGTCATTTTAAAACCAGTATAAAGGTAATATCAGGAATGACATAAAGTTGATTGTCACCTCATAGAAGTGGTTTTCCTCTATTTTTGAGATGAAGGACATAGGACAAGTTGAATACATCTTTAGGGTTAAGATCTCAAGAAATTGTTTTAAGAAGTTCTTGAGTTTGTTTCAAGAAAATTACATTCAAAGGGTTTTAAAATGGTTTCATATGTAAAATTCTAAACCTATAGACACTCTAATGGAGAAAGGCCTATACCTCAACATGGAACAATGTCATAAAACTAAAGAAACAAAGAAACAAATGGTGAACATAACATACATAAGTGTTGTTGGAAGTCTGATGTACGTTATGATGTGTACTCAACCAAACATATGTTTTGCAATTGGTATGGTCAGTAGGTATCAAAGTAATCTTGGGATTACCCAGTAGGATGTAGTCAAAAAGATACTATGGTATCTAAGAGGAACCACTAATTTGACTTTGTGCTATCACGGTGGAAGTTTAAAATTGGTCAGATACAATGAGGCTGATCACACTGGTGATAAAGATGATCAAAAGTCTATTTCAGGATATACTTTTATACTTATAAGTGGAGTTATCTCTTAGAGTAGCAAGAAACAACTTTGTACTACTCTTGTTACTATGGGAACAGATTATGTAACGTGTTATGCAATACGATAAGTGATTGGTGAGGGAGATTCTTGCAAAGCTTGAACATTATTGGGCATCTTTGTTAAGCTGTTGTACTTTATTGTGATAACACAGCTACCATATACAAAAGATCCTAAGTACCATGGAAAAGACGAACACATTGATACTCACTATCACTACATTCATGACATCATTGCACAAGGTCTTGTTGTGTTGAAGTACACTTTTACAACTGATATGTTAGCAAACCCATTCATTAAACCTATTACTAGAAATGCTTTTCATAAACATATCAAGGGTTTAGAGTTATTGCACATTTGATATTTATGTACTATATATCATTTTTGAACAATTAATGAATTAAGTCTGTGTTGACTTATTTGATCAAATATTGTTAATTAATTAAAGCACATATCTAATATAATTACTGTCACCTGACTTTATAGATTATTCTTTTCATATGGGATAATTGACCCAACGTTGTGGTAGTGTGTGGGATGAGACCTAAATGATCACAAGGTATTAAGCATTTTGTAATCTCCTTGTCACATGAGTTGCGAGCAAAGCTGTTAGCAATGTCACCTTGACCTAAAGTTAAGGTGAAGCTCATAAAAGTCAAACATGAAGATTACCCACACTCCATGAAGCCAGAGTTACAACAGAATTTGAATCTTAGGGGGTTCAAATCAATCTTTTTTGTAAGGATGGGATCGAGATCCATATGGTAGTTTTGATGTGACAAACACTAAGTGAAAGATCCACCATAGCATACATTTCACACTATATGTGCTAGTGGTTTATTGATCAAAGGGAGTGATTGGATAGATCCCTGCTTCATCATTGTGTGAGCCTTAAGGACTTATATAGTCCAAATCCCATGCCTTTTGTGACTTGGATCTATTATATGAAGGTGAGTTTTGGTGTTGCTATTTTAACATGATAC